CGAGTAATAACTGAAGACGCAGACTCAGATGCTCTTCAGACAGACCTAAATAATATAATTAACTGGTCTAAAGAGTGACTGATGCCTATCAACGCGGCAAAGTGTGTCTACATGCACTTCGGGGACTCAAGTGTTAGTAGGCATAACATAGGGGAAGTGCAATTACCAGTGGTTCGGTCTCATAAGGATCTGGGGGTGACAGTAAGTCTAGATATTAAGACGATGACCCATTGCCGGGAGGTCACATCTAAGGGGTTTCGAACCCTCTGGGCATTAAAACGGACATTCACTAAGCTAGATACTATCATATTCACCAAAATATACACGTCCTTAGTGAGAACTAAGCATGAGAACTGCGTTCAGGCCGCAAGCCCGTGTTTAAAAGACGATTCGTATATCCTTGAAAAAGTACAGAGGGCAGCTACCCGTGCAATTCCAGAACTCTGGGGTTTACCATACAAAGAGCGGCTTGAAAAGCTAGATCTCTTCACAGTGCACTATCGCAGATTAAGGGGAGATTTAATTTTGATGTACAGAATACTGAGAAAAAATTTTGGACCTAACTTTCTCTTTTTCTTCCCACTGGATCGGGACATCTCATAAGACATAGCAGGCAAGTAGAAGAACCAAGAACCAATGAAATACCCGTGGCACACAGGTTCTCACACCGAGTCATCAATACTTGGAACCTGCTGCCCGAAGCAGTGGTGTCCGCACCTTCAAGTGACCCTTTCAAGAGAAGTCTGGACACTCAAAGAAGCATACTAGAAAAGGAATAACATAGGCCGTAGGCCTTCTGTCCTTACTATACAAATCTGAAAATCTGAATCTGAATAGATTGCCTCCAACCCCGATATTTCGTAATTTATAAAGCAAACGGTTGTGAGGATCTTTATCAAAAGCTTTGCTGAAGTCAATGAAGGCTACATCTACAGGAAACTTTTGGTCCTTAAGAGCGCACTAGCTTTCACGAGTCACTAATAAGTTATTCGGACAGGAACAACATCTAAAGCCATACGTCTCAATCCGTTTCAAATGAGGACTCTGATCCTATTGTTCAAATCGCTGATGATGCTGAGTGTAAAATATATTGTATAATTGCTTTACAGACGTTAGGTCTGGATCAAGCCGACGCGTATTCATGAATGTTAGAACTGCATTATCACTTTTACCACGGGTTGGCATGTAATGGAGGTTCGTAACGTCATAATCATAATAGGTCAATATAGAATCTAGTAAGGATGATTGAGAGACCGGGTCGTATATAGTCGCTTCTTTCACATATTGCGATAGGGAACATGTGATGACCTCATCAGCTAGTTTATGCTCGAAGGAATCACCTGACAACTCAATTCGCAGACTTTTCCGGTCTACCGTGGGTGTATTAAAGTCTCCTAGGATTAGGCATCGACCACTTTGTGACCAACTATTGAGACTGTTTAGCAAGACCTCATTTATCTCACAGATTGGAATGCGGTAGATCAAACCAATCAGCAGCTCTTGTGCCTTGCATTTCAAGCGGCAACTAATTAATCCACACGTCCCACTCTCATGGGATACACTGTCGATAATGGCAAGTGAAATAGCATTCCTAATGAATAAAACTGCTCTCCTTCCTTTGGGCTTCTGGATTCTGTCAACCCTTACAAAACCCTCAAAATCAAGTTCGATACTATCAATAGACTGCGTCAGCCATGTTTCTGTGACCGTGATTAAATCAGGCTTAGTAGAGTTAGCCTGTAGACCTAGTTTCGACCGCTTATTGAGCAAACTTCGTGCTTCACCAGAAAGGCTTCAGAATCATTCTCTTCGAAGCCGCACAACCCGAACATTTGAAATTTTTGGGCCCTTTTCGCCAGCTTCTAACCCAAGTTGTAGTTCTCTATCGTCTTCCTGTCTTTTCACATAGTCTACCAGTGACAAGTCCTTACGGACAAAAACTTTTGAACCCTTTAATTTTTGTTCATTCATTAGATTTAAATGATACTTTAATCAGGCTGATAAGATTTTGTTTTAAATTCGCTTAACTACCTAGTTTATACACCTTTAGCTAGGTGACCCCGGAAGTATTTTGAGGCTTAAGTTTATTTATTATCTGTTTTATTAACCCAAAGTCATGTTCAAAGCGAGTTTTTGGTTCTGAGCTTTCACTCTCCTTGATTCTATGAAAAATAATTGACCTGTTACTGTGATCAGCCCTTAGTTTCACGACTACTTACATTGGAGGGGAGGGTAGGATTTCCTTCTATGTGTTTTCTCGCTTTCGCCTTGTACCTTTTCGTTGGAGTAGCAAACACGGTTGCGTCGAATACATTGTGGGATTCCAAAGGGTTATCGACGACCATTTTTACTGAACCGTTTGATTGCCGTAGGCGTCAAATTTGTGCAAACTTCGTGGTACCCGCCTTTGCAGAAAAAATATAAAACGTTTTGCTCTTTCAGTTTACTCCCGCTGTGAAATAGAACTTTTTAGTTTTTACGATGGGGAGTGTCGAATGAAAATACGGTGCTATCATTGTTCCTATCCTATCCGGATAGGATGGATGTTATTTTATTTTGAAAGTGAACCACTAGGCCTAAAATTCTACAGCACTTTTCCTCATTTGTACATTTTCTGTCGGAAGAAGGGTACGGTAGCTAAGTGGCAGTATTTTTGGTGAAATTAATTAACAGTGCTAATTTCTTCGAGAAATACTTCTTCGCACCTTAAACTTCCGGTAAGGGAAAGAACTATACACCCCTTAAGTACCCTCTTAATTTTTCATTTCTACTTTATGCTACGCGATGAATTGATAGGGTGGGTTCGAAGAAAGTTCAGTTCTATAGTTCATCATCATATTTTGTTGTCGTTAATGGAGCCAAATTAGCATCAACATCTCCAAAGACTGACATAGCTTGCCTTCATTTTGTCAAATAATCCCTCGTTTGTTTAGGTCTGGTAGTTTAGTTCACAAAGCATGAAATTGTGATGCTTGTTCCCGAGGAAGCAACAGTAACGTTGATATTAGATGTCTTTCTTGGTAACGTCACTTATTTTTGTAGTGTTAATGAAATAACACCGAAACTTAATCGAACGTTTTTTCGAGTTAAAAATATCCTTACGTAGGTGTTCAGCGTCGATTATACGGAGCCTACTATGGTTGGATGGAGGTGGTAGTGTGGTGTCTGCTACTTTTGTAGACATAAGTAGTATATGACGCGAGTTTTGAACGTAATATCTAGCAGCCGAAGATGAATAAAGATCAAGAAAGGAAGAGGGGGAACACAATGGAAATTGTATGGAACTCCATGAATAATGAAAGGACAGTCAATCGATGTTTGCAACAGGAACAGTCAAGTTTGATATGATGGATTCTTATTTTGCAAATCAACGATTAACTATATGGTTATATTTTAATAAGTGGTTCTGTAATTTGTTGTCAAATACTTTCGATTGTCCCCATTGGTGTTCTTGTTCACTACAGTAGGACCAACCAACGTACGCCAAAGTAATACCTCCCGGTTCAAATCTAATGTGGATTACTCTTTCGTCGTATCCAGGTATTATGGTTACTTTGATGACTGCTGAACATAGCATTATGTCAGGAAATTTTCAGTAAGGAAAGGTTCAAGAAACGAGTGCGACCAATGCTGCATGGACCAGTACATGTCATGCGATCTATCGACGCTCGTCAGTGACCCTGACGTAGATCAGATAGCTAATAATGTACTGAAAAGAACGTTTAACATGTTACGGAATGTTTTAAAGTTCATACTTTGGAGTTAAGACATATGAGTTTTTATTTACTAAGACATCGCTTTCATGATTCACTGAAAGCAGTCACCACTGTTTTTTAACATGGTCTTTTTGTTTATCCAACTTCCTCAAGGACATCTTCAACAGGTAGATTGCAATCAAGTCGTTTCGGTTGTTGGAAAAGCGGTGAAAATTTTAGCTCACTTGTAGCGAGTCACAAATCCCCAATCAATCATAATACTATAATTAGTTTACACCCTGAGATGTGATAATAGTCTCCTCTTAACTTCTCTTCGATTATCTGAAAGTTTATTGACCCATGAGACAATATCTTGATGACTCGCCTGTTTTTGTCCAACTGTAACCTTTAGATGACACAGACTAACTTATAAACTAAGAGCATTATTACCCGGCAGCTACCCCTCAGCAGGTTAGGGCACACACCCGGAAGAGCTTGAGGATAATGACAGTTCTAAAAAGTCTCTTCACGACACAGTCCTCATGAGCTAAACTGTGCTCACAAAGCTGTCAAACGGGGGGATAATGACGAAGACAATCCGCTGTGGTGTCTACTACCTATAAGCACTCACACATCCAACCTCAATTTGGACAAACGCTAATGACTCAGACAGCATATGACTGCTGAGTTATTTTCACCTTCGCAACAACTGTCTTCATAAGAGATCGTGATCTTCAGCATACATACATGTCTCATTTTGATGCCCTTGTATCTCTACGATTATGCACCTATCGATTACTATTTTCTACCTAACGCCCGTATCTTTTTCATACTACATATTATTCGTTTTGAGCCATATTAACGCTTGTACTGAGTAGTCAGACCAATGGCCCACAGAATTTCGTATCATATTATTAAACCTATCCCTCAGAACGATTATTCAGATTAATGATTAATGTTCGTACTGGTTGATTCATCATTTAAAATCAGCTCCTGTTTATGCCTAGTTTCACCAGTTGTGTGAAAAATACATAACTACAAATTATCCGTAGTCGACTTCTGGTTTTACACTGCCTGGCGTTGAGTGGTTTCGGTGTGTTTGAGTTGTCAGACAATACAAGGGTAATGTGTAACGGCAGTATTTCTGGAGTCGGTTCAAGACACACCCAAAAGATTTCTTAAAATGATGCTCTCTCATAGAAAATAATAACAGTAACAAGCATGATGCTGCAGATAGTTAAATGGGTCTCAACTAACCGTTTAATCACGCTCTGTAGATAAACAAATTCATAAAGCAGTGAGTATCCACGCCATTTTATTGGAAGCAATAACTGGAATAACAAGGCGAAATTCCTTAATATGAACACATTGTCACAAAGAACTTCATATCTCAAACTAATCTTTGAAACAAATGTCAGTCATGTATTTTTGCACTGAAGGGAATTACACTATCGCTTAGGAAATCAAAAACAACTTTGATAGCATCAAACCATAAAGCTGTACTTAAAACATTAATAGGCTGAAATAAATGTTGAGAATTTATAGCGATTAACAAACTTAGCTCTTCCCTATGGTGTTATTACAAAAATTATGGCGTCATATTAACGAAATTCAATAAATTTTAAAACAATTACAGAAAAATGTATGTAAATGGTCCAACGGATTGTACAATATTTTAATTTAAAAACTAGTATCACATATACATGTCAAGAGGTGTAACGTACGAAACATGCTTCTTTTCAGTGTTTACTTCTGGAATCATAAAACATAGAAAAATGGAAGGGAATTTTAGCAATCGAAAATTACATCAGAATGAACAATGAATACGTAGACAAAGTACATAAAAACTAAAACTAGGAATCTTCGAGAAAATAACCGTTTACAACACTTTTATAAGGCTTTACAAATTTAAACATGTGCATCTTTAATAACCAGCATGGAAATGTTACTAGCTTTACAAATACTCATAGCGCTTTATCCGTTCACGATTGTAAAAATACGCTCATTTCATTGAGTACAGTTTTCCTACATTAGAAGATCACTTAACGTTGATATTAACACAAACATGAGAACAAATTATCTCCGTTACATAAGAAGCCCTACTTGTCGGGTATTCCAGGTATACTGAAATCACAACTAGCACGAAACTTTTAGATTTAGGCCTAATGAAACCAACTACATTAATAACCGACTGAATTACAACATCCAATGACATTTTACCTAAATCTTTATTCTGTTTATAGTATAACCACTTTTGAAAATGAACAAGATGAGTTATTACTTTTAGACTGCTTAACATAAACTCAGTAATCCGTTGGTGCCGAACAACAAATTTCAACCACTATTTGGACGTTAGGTAAACAAACTCATTTTTTACTACACTTCCATCGAAAAAGTGAAGTAATGAAGAACATAGACAAAAAAGAATTGGAGAGACTTTTGCAGATTGTCAGACTATATTATTCATAAAGAGAGACGAGTATTTGAACGATATTTCTGTTATCGAGAATAAAGTTAATACGCATACTGATCATGTTTACACTACTATGTAAATTGTACATTTAATTAGTGCTGAATGGTTAATGAGTTTAATATTACAAAATGATTACTAGTTTACAAATTTTCAAACGAATAAGAATTAAAGAAAATTCAGATAAGAACATTATCTTTTCAACAACTCCATTTACTTAAACCGAACAGTAAGCTATTTTTACAAATAGTAATTTATAATAAAATAGAGGGGGGGTTGTATCATTTAATAAAAAAGTCATCAACAATAACAATCTAAATTCATTGATAATCCTTAATCTCTATTGTGATTTTTACCAGGTGAATTTATTAGTTAAATGGTAGATTAAAACAATTCATGAAAATAGTTATGTGAAAAACTAAGTTTCAGTTAATGATTTGTTAAGTTCATTAGTTTCCAGGTAGATCAATTATTATTATTAGTATCACCATTGTAAGAATGTGTTAATTAATTATATTTTTCTTTGGATGACATACCTAGTCTTTCTATTTACATAGAGATTATATGAACATATTTTTTATGAAATCTTTCCTATTAGAATCATGATAAAAAAAAGTTGGTCTACATAACTATAAAGATCTAGTTGGGTTTGAATGTGATTAGCTAGAAAATAGATACCACTTTCATAGTAATATCTATTAACGACGAACATCATACAATCTTATTTTACTTATTAGTTGTCCGACGATTAGATTTAGTGTTTTCATTTTCGAAGCGAAAATCTTATACTTCAAAGTACTTGAACCATTTGAGAGAACTGTTTTAATAACATAGAATTCAAAAGTACAGGAAAGTGAATTCCGACACATAATCAAGAGCCTTCATGATACATGGATTATAACTCGTCACATTACAATAGTGCATTATTAACGGTCAATTTAAATAATTCATACAGGAGATACAAAATGCACTCCTAATCACATGACGATACACTTAGAAATTCAGGCTAACATGTCGCTTATTTTTAAATATTTATAATTATACTCATAATTTTTCGTCAATAGGGATCATGAATTTCAGCCACCGATATAGTAACAACAACGCGACTGTTGGGATGGCCACCGAGAAGCCACCCACGTACATAGTCGATTGACGGACTTATCGATCAGATGTTGAAATATTTAAAATGGCAGTCGATTGACTAAGTTATCGATTAATGTTTAAAAACTTCCATGGCAATATTGATTATATATATATATATATATAATTGTATAAATACGCATGTTTTATTGTATATTTTGATTCTTGTCAATAAGTGCTCTCAAACGTCTTTCGTCTTCTTACTTGAGAGGGGTTGGAGGTTCTAACGTTCGAGTGTCATCAGTTATATAGTGTTTCGTGCGTATTCAAGTAGAGAACATAACAGCGACTACTTTAATTAAAGTAGATAGAATGGAGTATGAACATGTGACGTATACTGATTGGAAGGTGAATAATTCAATTACTAAGAGACTACTTCTGTTAAAATAAACGGAATCATAACAGAATTTGAACTAGTTTCTTCACAGTTATTAGCCATGCTTTCTATAGATAGATGATATCAAGCTGCTAACCATACTGCATTTAAATCACTGTGTTTAGAAGACTAATAAGTAGTCGAGAAGTGCAAAAATAACTATACTACATAAAACAAGTTTTCTTACCCTTATCATTGAACTAGACAAGGAAGAAAGGATTTACATTTTCAAACTGTCCATCCTCAAATACATTTTGTTATCAATTAAAAAAAATTATGTGCATGTGCAGTGAACTTACAATGTATTGTTTTCATACAAAGTGGAATTGTTAATTTCTATAACTGGTCCAGGGATTATATGACGTACGCTACCAAAAAAGTCTGTAACAAGTACGCGACGTATATCACGTCTGAATAAATCAGATCGAGTGACAACAGTTGATTGACATAATGAGAAAGAGCATAATTGGGACTAGGTTACAAAATAAAGAAGTAAGAACACAATGCAATTAATTTGTTTAGCTAAATAACCGACTTAAGTACATTTACTAAGATACAAAATCCGCTTGTGAAAAAGCTAATAAGTCTATAGAGTCCATCACAAGAATGTATCGATAAAAGTTACTACATTTTGTAGAGATACGAGGAAAAATCAGGAAGATTAAAAAAAACACCATTAGACAGAAATAAAATACACACTCAGTAATTACATGATAGAAATAAATGAAAAAAGAAATGTGAATTCGTTACCAACACTGTAATTTACCTAACGAGACATCCAGTCATTGGTTACAACCACTGTCAAAATAATATTGAAACAGTTTAAACTGTTCGAGGACAATTTACTCAAGCTAGTTTAATCATATACAGGCTATTTCTTTAATCTCGAACAACAATCAAGTGTCATGGAAAATGACAGTTGTTGATAATGCTTTTAAAGAAATGTAGGACCTATCATACATATTAATCTTTTCAGAGTACCATATCATACTTCGGCACGGAGAAATACAACTTACATGATGAAGAGCAAAATGCGAATATGAAGTTTACAGGAATAAAAATAACTGGATAGAACATAATGGATACACTTGTTGCAGTGTTTAAAAGATGTTTTATTTGCCTGAATTTTACATCTTCAATATCCAGATAGGCGTCGGATAGTTAAGGGAGCTGAGAAGTTAGAAATTATATTTATTATCTCAATCGCTGTAGATTTAAGGACACTATCCTGTATATTGAAATGAATCTACACCACACTCAAAAACTGGACATTTTGTGAACAATGGTCATTCGATGAAACCAAATTAAAAGTTATTTACATAGTGAGTAGAAATCTACTAAAAACACTGACCTGTTGTCTTATTTGAACTGCTGAAACTTCCACCACACATATAAACCAAGCAGAACTGTGTGTACAAATGAAGCAATTAAGTCACTTCACTCATTTTCAATCACCAAACCAACTTCTAATTCCTCCAACACAACTTGTTTCTATTCACCTATTTTTTTTCATTAAAATTCACTCCAATATCAAAATCTGTCTTGTCACGATATAAACTCGCTTTTGCAGTTCATTATTACTATCGACTTTTGACATGTTTTGGTTAAATTCAAGCTACTAACTACATTAGTCATTTTGTGAGTATAACATCACCAGCCCTTACGTTTTACAGTGATGAGAGTGACAAAAACTGACAAGGTTAATATAAGGAATAGTAAGATAATCATCAATGGTAGTGTCGATCGTTCAATCTAGCACATAAAGTTATACGGGTTTGAATCCCGCGAGCGGGATCATGGATGCGAACTGCTGAGGAGGTCCATACTAGGACGAAACGGCCGTCCAGTGCTTCCAGGTTTCCAACGGTCAGTCAGTCAGTAACAACGTGGAACTTCGTACGTACGTACATCAGTTCCAGTTGCCATACCACATTAGCACAGAGATTCAGTTATCAATTCAAATCCCATAGTGGTAGAGGTACTGAAAGTATAAGTAGAGATAGGGGACATTAAGGTTTGATGATGTTATTAAAGGAGTATAGTCCAGTGGAATAAATTGGGAAGGAAATAAAGGACATGAAGAATTCAGAAGATTAGAGTTTGAGAGAACACAAAGAGTGAATGCACCTGCGCCATTGCAAACGATTTTGAGCCATGTCATTCAAGGTCTCTAACCATCGGTTGCTATCGTCTCGCGGTCCAACGGTGGTTAAACATCAGTCAGTTCATGATATTAATCAAAAACTTAGTAATCTCCACAACCCCAATACTGACAAAAACAAAAACCTATGGTATAATTTAAACTTACAAAATCATACAATGTTCTTTTGCTCGAAGGAGTAACAGACTCCAAAAACTGAAACGCATAGTAAGAATATCGATCAGAAACATAGGTTCCAATTTCACGATCCGAATGGAGCTGAATGATAAAATAGTGAGAATATTTTTTGCACAGTATAAAATTAGTTACCATGCAAATATGATTAAATTTAAAAGGAAATCTTAATTTCGACCACATCCAGCCTAGTAGTCTGTATGAAGGGAAATACATTAAAAATTCCTACGAATTTAGTCACAAAAACTGATGCTTAGACGATACTGCTAACACTAATCGGATTCAATAAGTGAGGAACATCACAACTGTATGATAAAACAAGTGCAAATTAACCGATAAATTTATAAATCTAAATTAAATTAAACAAGATGTGTAACAAGTACATGCAAGTTATGTACTTCAAAGTTGAGAGAGAAACTCAAAATATCTACTAACTATTAAATTAAGGAGGAAAATTATACTTGTGAAAATCTCGGCGATTGAACTTTAAGTAAATTCAACGTTTTGTTTGGCAATCTGGCCCAGACTTTTTGAAGGAAATATAATCAAAATTGTCAAATATAAATAGTTCACAGGTCAAATTTACAATAAACAAGTTATTCAATAACGTTAACAATTTCGAAAGGGAGATTTATTGTACTATACATGAGATCTTTGGCATTAAAAGTGGAGAAATTGTGTTAAAATAGAACAAGTATATGTGGACCTGAGGCCAGAAAAATGCATCGACCATGTAACACAATTCATCATTTGAGGATAAATAAACAAATAAATGTTTGTGTTATTGCGTTGACCAAGTTGATTCCTAATTGTATATTCGGACTAACCAATCAGTTAAAACAAGTGAAAGTAATTGTTATTGTCCAAGAGATGAATTAAATGAAGTGTAAAATTAAGTTGATTGTATTCCATCTCTCACATAAACATTGTTTGGGTTTGCCCATATGTGCAGGACTTCAGCTAATGTCTCTTTGTATAAAATAAAACCTTTTTGAAGGATTC